TTATTGATGCATATTACTTAAAATTCAAGATTATAAGTAATTTTGTGTAAATACAACTTATTAAAACTTCATTTTTAAATTTATGTAACCAACTGCAAATAAATATAATCAAATACAGAATAAACATTTATTTTAAATATAAAAAATCTAAATATAATTAAGATAATCATTGAGTTCTTACAAAATGTTTAATTATTATTTTTATAAAAAAATATATTATTAAACCAAAAATAAATTACTTTGTTATTAAATCTAAATTAAATTATAATAAAAATTGAATTAAAGAAATTAAACCAAAAAAATGAGAACTACTAAGTGCTTAATTTGATACTAATATCGATTTATTTTATTTTTTTAATTTTCTTTTCAAAATGTCATGTTATCTTTAAACTTATATTTCATTTAAATATAAAAACATTATCGTTTTCTCAAAACCACATCAAATTGTATTATATCGATAGAGACAAAGAATATAACTAAACATTAAAATTGATATTTATCTCACTGCATTACACGAATATTCTTCTAATTTATCATAAATATATGACAATTATATAAATAAGTTTCATTTTTTTTTGAAAATCTCTAATTAGAAAAAAGTATATTTTAATACCTGATTTTCACGTGATATAAATATTTAAAAATTCGTTCCTAAAATAAACAATTGTATATTAAAAACTATTAAATAAGAAAAATTAAACCATAAACTGTGGGTTCTAACAATACGACCTTAAAATAAAATAAAAAAACGTTTTTGTAATATCTAAAATTTGATTTATAATATATCTTGTTTAAAAAACTTAAATAAAATAATTAAATTAAATATATATTATTTAGTGATTTATTTTTGTTGTTAGTGTGATGAAGTTCTGGGGTGTGATTATGAGCATTGATTAGAATATCCTTTTTGTACACTTTGGAATGAGATCAACAACCACTCATTTATTTTTGTACTTTCATTTGCCACTCATTATTAAAAATGATATTCAGATAATCTTTAATTAATAAAAAAAATATTTTAATCATTTTAAGTTTTGCAATTAAAAGTGATATTTTAAAACATGATAAATAAAATATATAAACATTGTAATTAATTTATAAATTTTCTTTTATATGATTTTTTTAATTCACATATTATTTTTTATCTTATCATTAAAAATCAATGAAATTAAATGTATAGAAGGAAAAAATAATATTTTAATAATATAATTCTTATTACTAAAGAATTGTTTATCAAATACTTACTAGCAAGAGTGGTTACTCTCACTCACTTTATACGGTAACATTTTTTGTCATCAAAATGGATTGATGGTAAACGTTTATAAGTCAATAAGCGTTAACCGGGTAAGAGTCATCACCCTTATTTATTGGGTAAAACTTTCAATCATTGTCTTTTCCCTTACTGGATAAAACTCATGATTTTTATTATATTCATCCAGTAAAATAATAAAATTGATAAACATTTATTAAAATAAGTATTTAATAAACGACTCGAAAAGAAGTGATAACATCTTAATGAGTCCATGATGTCAACATCTTTTTATGAGAAAATGCATTTATATGACAACTACCCATTTTATGATCCTAAATACAAGTTTATGATCAATCCACTATTTGATACATATCATAAAAAGGCTATTTTAGGATTATATTAAAAAATATCTGTTGCATTTAAATAGTTGGTGTTGGGTTGACTTTATTCTGAATTTATGATCTTGAATCCATTTTCAATGTTCGTTTGGTTGTGTTGGAATAGTCCAAAATCACGCTACCTATCAATGTAGTTTACGATGTCAAAATTCGACAAATTTAAGTCTCACTATAAAACATTGGTTTTGGAGGACAACTAGACTATGTAGGCGTCTTAATGGAATGTTTTGTAGAACTTAAGTTTATGGGAAAAACTATAAAATGTCTTATCTAAAAGTGTTACAATAGATTTTAAAACGGCTTTGACGTTCTAACAAGCTTTTAGAACATTTTTAAAATAAAAACGTTGTATTAACTATTTTATGGAACACTTTTAAAAATTTTATATATACACTCATCTTTTTATAGAACATTTTTAAAAAGTGTCTTAAAAAACTTTTTTATTTTAAAAGTGTCATAATTTTTTCTGAAACGGTTAAAAATGTTCTACAAACCAATCGTAACGCTTTTAGATAGGACGCTAGTCAGTTTGATTTTATAAACTTAAGTCTTATAAAGTATTTTATTACGACGCTTAAACATTTTGCATCTGATATAAGACCAATTTTATGGAATGCTTTGCTAATATCCGAACTTTTGCACTAGTAAATAGTACATATGATGGGGGTGTTTCTTGAATTCTTTTGGACAAATAAAATTATTATTTAATCACATTGTTATAAAAAAAACATGATGTAATTGAATTCTAAAATAAATATTGAAGTTAATTACGGATTTGACCCCTATGGTTTGGTAGTTTTTACAAAAATGGTCCCTAAACTTTATTTATTACATATTAGGAATTGTCGTATGTCATTTTGTAACAAGTTGGTTCCTTGCTCTAACAACCATCCAAAACACTCGTTAACTACAAGGACATTTTCGTCATTTTGCTTTCTCTCTCTCTAACTATTTTGTCCTTTTATGCTTTTATCTACTTTTAATTTATTATTTTATAGTTAATATTATATTTAATATTTTATACTTGCATATATATAAGAACATATTGTTGGGCCGAACATCTTATCGGAGGTCACATCAAAGATCTTATCAGAAATCTTGTTGAAGGTTACACAGAAGATCTTACGGGAGGTCACATCGGAGGGTTTAAGGGTGGCGACATGAGGTGGGTTTCCGTTGGAGAGAGAGATAAGAGAGTTAATATTAGAAAAAAGAAAATGAAGAGTATTTAGAAAATAAGTTAAAATAAGTTCTAAAAAAACTATAAAATGACTATTTTACCCTTCATTTAAACTTAGTTAACGGAAGATTGGAAGAAAGTAACGACCGTTAGGGGTGAGGAACCAATTTGTTAAAAAACAACATACGACGCGTCCTAATCTATAATAAATGAAGTGTAAAGACCATTTTCATAAAAATCACCAAACCACAGGGACCAAATCCGTGATTCACTCTATATATTACTTGCAAAAACTAGGTCCACCAATGACATTTTTATTTGACGTTTTGAATAGGTGCAAGTCTAATGGGGCCCGTTTTATGTTTTTCTTGTGTAATTTTGCAATTCGATTAAAATAACACATGTTACGTTTTCAATTATTTAAATAATACTTTATATTTTATTTTATAATAGGCCAAGTAATGAATCAAGTTTGATATACAAAATATAATCCATGGGTTGAGGGGGTCGAGTAGTAATATACATATAACTTTTAAGCAACGGTTTTAAATGACGTGAGATCAAGATGTGGCGTAACAGTGGGGTTAAGCCTCAAGCCTTACGAGATACGATGAGGTCATAACGTTTTTCAAAGCATGCTATAAGGCAGCATTTATCTACACATATCTACCCACATATGTATGTGTTAGTTTTGAATAATATTTTTAAAACAAATTAAATTCATAAAAAGAATAAAACTAAAAATGAAATAAAAACCATCATGTAATTGATATTGATTATATATAACTTATAGAAAATGATATCAAGAAAGCAAACAGAGAAATATCAGCAAGTATTTACCTATTTAAGATTTTGGTTTTTAAGTTCACTTTTTATGTTTATTTACGTCCTAAGTCGCGCACATATAATTATAATTTATCACTCAAATTCTATATTAAAGTAACTTAACACCTTACAAAATAACGTATCGTAATGCGCCATAACGCATTACAATGCAAGCCAAACCTTAAGGTGGAACCACAAGGGTTAACATGACGGCAGACCCAAGCATTGAGACCATAACACACCATAACGAGTTATTTGGAACCATGCTTTTAAAGTGATTATAATTTCCCATGATACAAAAATGGTTACGAGATGATATACTTGTTCTAAACTGGTTCAAATCTAACCACCACAATATAAAAATTACAAATCATTGGTGATTTAGCTCCTTCTAGGAGCTGATCTCTTAAGTCAATCATAGTTTTCTATGTATCTAATTTGTCTCACACATAATACTCTTGGGACTTAACGAGGTGGGACGAATAAATGATTGGCGATTGTATTTGTAGGGACGTTTAAATAATTTTAGACTTGATAACTGTAGATCACAGTTATGGAATCAATCACAAGATCTTTTTCGATATCAACCACCCAAAATTTTTGAATGAGTATAATATGTATTCATCCAACACGTATATGATTCCACATACACTAAACATGAGATGATCACAATTTTTTTGCATATATTTTGGAAGGCCACCGGCTTGCAAAAAAGAAGGTTTGCCGAAAAAGACGTTGAAAAACAGTTAAACAAGCTCATTGTATTTGTATTTCAAGAAAATACAGTCTAAGGTAAGAAAACATAAAACTCCTAGTCTATCTTAAAAATAAGGTGGGATTAGCCTTGGCCCTTTGTTACCTGTTACCTAATCATGCATCTTCAACTACTCTAAATCATAAAAAAAAAACCACCCAAAAGACAGACCTTGTATTCACAACACATTTAGACCTACTGAATTGTAGTTTTATAAGATCATAAGCGAATTAGTAGGACTATGACATAAGATGGACCCTACAACTATTTTACAATATCCAAATTTCAAAAGGCAACCCCAAAACACACTAGAACCCAACCCCATACTAGCACCCAAACACTAGTTCAAAACGATCACAAATCAAATCCCTGAAAGGTAACCTTAAACAATCAGAGTCCTAATAAGTGGGTCTACATTAAACAAGCCTTCAAGACTCGGACCAAATAGGTGGACATAGACATAGACCTTTATGCCCATCTCTACAGATAATAACCATAGCAGGCTTTTAGAAATGATCATGGTCATATTCATACAAGCATGAGTTCTTCAGCTAACAACATTTGTAAACAATCATAATGGCATTGTGCAAGTACTGAAGCAGTTCAAGAAATATATCAAAATAGAGAATCAGAATTGTAACCGAATAAATATCAGTTTTAGCTATTTAGAATCAGTACTGGCAATGCACTGATGCCTGCTCTCTAATATAATAGAGTTCACAATATTAAGAAAAATCCATTTAAAAAGGAATGTCTGGGAAGCGACTTACCAATTCCCTTCCAAAAAACTGAATTATTATTCAAACCTTTTGCGCGAAAAGAAAACCCTCAAAACTTCAAAAGCTTCGTCACCATCTATTTGGAGAGCAAACTCCTCAATTGTCACTCTTAGCCGCCGCCTGATCCGTACTTCTTGCCAAAGACGATCAGCTGAAGTTTGTCGTAACCAGAAAGCACACCAGCACCAGCAATGGCACGCAGAATGTTGGCACCAGCACCCTTGAATAGTGACTTGGCACCCTCGTTTTTCAGAATCTGAGAGAATGCATCGAAGGAGCTCTTGTACTTGACTGCCTCACCAGACGTCATCATCATTCTTCTACGGACAGTGTCAATTGGGTAGGATGCAAGTCCAGCACCATTTGTGATCACCCAACCAAGAGCAAAGCTAGCAAAGAAACTATCCTGAAAACCCAAAATTAAGATTGTGAACAAAACACACACATAATTAATGAACACTTTCATATTTAATATGAAATTAAATCATGGTTACCTGCATCTTTCCAGTAAGGACAACGGGCTTCAAAGAATCATACAATCCAAAGTACAAACCACGATATACGATGATTCCAACACATGAAATGTTAAATCCACGGTAAAGCCCAGCAATACCATCTGATGCTAGTGTCTTCTTGTAGACATCAACCAAACCGTTAAACTGCCTCTCTCCTCCCTTCTTTGCAGCCTTAGAATCATTTGCCAAACGGGTTCTGGCATAGTCAAGAGAATAAACAAAAAGAAGAGAGGAAGCACCAGCTGCACCTCCAGACCCCAAGTTTCCAGCAAACCATTTCCAGTAGCCATCTCTGTCCTTTTTGAAGTTGAAAAGCCTCTTGAAGTAATCCTTGAATGCAAAGTTCAGGGCCTGGAATATATAAAAGACATATAAGCTCAATATAGAAAAAATTAAACGATAGCAAATCAAAACATTATGGGAAAAATACAATCATCAAGTAAACGAAATACTAGCCTGGGTTGGGAAATAACGGATGACATTAGCAGTGTTTCCTCTCCACAACGCAACAAACCCCTCATCCTTGATTGTTCGACCAAAACAATCACCAATACCTTTGTATGGTTCAGCCAACCTACCAGACTTGAGCATCTCATCCTGGTTCTGGATCAGAAGCTTCACACGTTCAATGGGAGCAGCAGCAGTTTTTGATACAGCTGCAGAGACTCCACCCATAAGGAAATCAATAGCAAATCCTGAAAGACCTTTCTCAGCTGGGGCTTGGACACAGATAGGAGATACTTTAGGCACAATCATGGAAAGGTCAGCTGATGGCTGAGTTGGATACTGAAATGCAGCATTTGAGTAATTTCCATATTGGAAATGCCTCTGGTAGGCCTGTGGTTGCTGGAAACCACTCTCACGAGCACGAAGCTGTGTCATGCTAGATCCAAGAAGACTCCCAGCTAACTTCTGAGAGACACTTGGGTGCTGCGAATGATCAATCGCCATGTCTTCCCTACACAGGCAGACACATTTACACTTCATATGTCACTAAAAAAGAAAAGACAACTAGCCAAGATTTAAAAACCATGACACCATTAACCATGAGATTGGAACATCATAAATACAATAAACATCCCAAACAAAAATTAGTAACTTTATGTAATTTTGTGGTTCATAATGGGTGGTTTTAAAACATATCCAGAACTCTGAGATTTCATAAGCACTAACCAATAGACACTCAAAAAGATTATTAAGAATAAAGTATTAGATAGTTTATATTCAATAGTCTTTTACCAATTAGATTAATCAAAGGTGTTAAAACAGAAAACTGCAGTGAAGCCTTATAATGATGCTTCTTGCATGATTGTATCACAAACTACTCAAACAAACTTACAAGTATAAATAACATACAAAGTTAACTTGCAATTTGCTCCATGACACTATGCACTTACAATTAAAGACCCATTTAATAAGTCCAAAGCTTAAAAAGCAGGCTACCAGTTTTAGCATTTTTTACTTGAAAAGAAGGGAGTTTTGTAGTCAACCACCATCAGCCACTTGACGAGAGAATTGGTCCAACAAGTCAGAACAGTCAATTCGAGGTCAAAAGCACTAAAATTTGCCAAGACTATAAATTAAAATGAAGGATTTGACCACTATTAATTATTAAATGACAGATGCATTAATAACACGTGCTTTTATATAGAACAATTTGTGGTATAAAAATAGCAATGTTCAAATGTAACAAGCTCAAAAAGAAAACTTCAAAAAATGTTGAAAAAATATATTGTAATTAGCAAATGACAGGAAATAAGTTGGGGTTTTTTTTCGTAAACTAGCCCTATAAAAACATAGAAATGATAAATAAAGTCCATAGTTCAAGATTTTAGCATTCATCTAACGAGATCAACAAAAGATTCGTCCTCTCTTTTTGGAATCAAATGAAAGCAATCTTACTAGAAGTTTTAGAACAATTTGATACATAACAAAATTGATCAAAACGAAGAATCAACGCTGTAAAGTTTCACCAACAACCAGATATCAAACTTAACATGAATAATTTATAAAAAATTGGTTTGAATCCATCAACAAAGCAAACCGAGTAGGTGAGACCTCGTTACAACGACAAAAGCACGATCCGTAAAAATTGGGACTATTCTATTCAGATCTCCCAAAGATCGCAATCTTTTCATGCTACAATTACCTATTTACCCTTTACTAATTCTTGCAAAGAAAAATAAATGATATTCATTTTGGTGATCCCATTATTTTGTAAAGTTCAAATATTTGACGATCAATCATTACCCTCCCTCTAGACGTACATGTACAATCAGCAGATGCGATTTCCATGGATCAAGAGACAAAACAGCATAAAATTCTGAGAATTTCTTAAATTAGAAACATAAAAGCAATTCTATAAAGCAATCGACAAAGCTCGCGGTCAACGAAGAGCAATCACAGCCCAGATCTGCTTAAAATAAACAAAAAAGACCCCAAAAACACTAAAGATACACGCAAAATCAGAAGTATACAACATAAACACAAATAAGAATCACCAGCTGAAACTCAGAAACAAGCTTGATTTCACAGATCTGACTCGATCCAAGAAAAATCAACATCTAGTAAATCGAAATGAAGACAAACAAAGAACTAGAAAACAGATCTATCAACTAGAAACGATGATATTTCAGATCTACAAACTAAAGAAGCATAAAGAACAGCTATTGAAAGATGAAGAATCTACCTTTCTAGAGAGAGAAGCAAATGAATGGATCCGCGTATGGTGCGGCTCCAGGAAAGCGGCGAAGAAAGGGTTGGAGGACAAGAGTATTGGGGAGCGAAGAAGGGTTTATGAGGAGGAGAAGCCGCTGACCCTCAGGGTTGCGTACATTGACTGCAATAGGTCTTATTTTTGGGGTGATTTACATTTATGCCATTGGGCCTCTTTAGAAGGGGGGAAAAACCCTAGTTTTATTGATATATTAATTATTTATTTCATCTTCTTAACAAGTTCGAATGATAATAATATACAATAATAAATAACTTTCCAGAATAAGTCATCATTTATCAAAGAATAACTTTGGTTATCAAATAATTAAACAACCGGGATAGAATTTCAAGGTCGGAATCTAATTATTATATGAAATACTTAATTTCTGATGCATAGCTCAGTTAGTACAGATGTGAAGTGACTTTGCTTAAACACAAGACTAGTCATGGGACGCAAGTCTCAGCTGCTGAATGAGTCAAAAAATACTCATTTACATTGGTGTTCTTAAAAGTGGGTTTCATTCCATGTAAACCAGTTAAAGTTGTCGATAGTATTTTTTGTGATATGATATATTATAAAGTGTTAAAAGACAATTATAACTTTGATTGGTGTCTTAACAAAATAGAACTATTTTTATAACAATCAAATTGATTAAACAATTTCAAACTTCTAAAGACATGTCACATTTTATTCAATATATTTTTAATAATAAACTTTAAATAGAAAGTAATAAAATGGAGAGGTGAGGTGGCCACATGAGGTTTCTTGGACCAGTTTTGGGCCTGGGCCGAGCTTGGTTAGGTCCATCTAATAGACCCATTTCAGATAGAGGTTTTCTTTAAGTAAATGATTGAGTACATGTACATGTAACGCTGATCGTTAAGTGGGCTATTTAAAATCAACCAGTGGCACTGTGGCAACTGGCAACTGGCAATGCACGTGAACATGTGGGATAGAGTTGGATCATATATTATGAATCATATATTGTATATTTTAGTTTCGTTTATATTATAAAAAATATAACATGTATTTTTTTTAAATATGTTTTCTCAAGACTACTGAAATATAAGACTACTCATGTCATGAGATAGCACGACCATGTAATACAACGAAGTGTAAGATTTTTTAAAACCAAAAAAGGGATGAATACGAGCAGCGACGGATCCATGATTTTTGTCTACTGGGGTCACCTTTAAGGTAGACTAAAGGTCCGCAAAATCGTCCGATGTGTTTTTAACCTAATTACAACGTTTCGAGGGATTTTTTTAGTGTTTTTGTCGATTTCGAATAACTTTTTTGGTTTTTTTGATTGATTTCAATAGATTTTTTGGTTAGAGTAACGGCTTCGATTGGGGTTGGGGGCCCGTGGAAAAATATATTGGGGGGAAGTGAAAGGTAAATCGTGCAAAACCTAAATTTTAACTTAGGAATTTTTTTTAAGTTTTTGACTGGGGTCCTTTCCCTCCCCCTCCCCCTTCCCCTTCCCCTTCCCCTTCCCCTTCCCCTTTTTGCTACTGTGTCCGCCATTGAATACGAGTCGAGTCAAGTTATCCAATACTTGAATCGAAAAGCTAATGAGATACTCGATTATTTTATGTATAATTAGTTTTTAAATAGGGAAAATTGCATCAAAATAGAACCAACTTTCACATAATTTCTATTTTGATGTACCAACTTTCAAAATCGTTATTTTGGGAACCAACTTGCACCTGATTTCTATTTTGGAGAACCAACTTTCAAAATGGTCATTTTGGGGAATCAACTTGCACCTAATTCCTATTTTGGGTAACCAACTTGCAAAATAATTATAGAAAAATAATTAAAATTTGTTTTTTTCCCAAAAATTAATGCAATAAAATCTATTTTTCATTTCAAATCTCGTTTTTTTAATTCAGATATTAAATTGAACATTTAAAAAAAATCCAAATTAGCACAATAAAAATTGTTTTTTATTAATGCAAAAAAAATAATTTAATAGAAAAAAAAATTAATTGATGCAATAAAAAATAAATATTGCATCAATAAAAAATAAAGTTAATTAGTTATTACAATCATCCAAATATATAATTAAATCTTTAAGTTTTAGAATCAGATGCTTCAAATCAAATGTATTTAGTTTTATACAATGGAATATGTCATATAAATTATTTGAGCAATTTGGGAGGAATGAAAATCTTTGACAACTCAACTATTTATATCATCCAACAACCTCTCCTCTTCTAGTATGACATCTCTTATTCTCAACCAACCTTCTTTTGGTACTAGATCGCCTAGATCAAGAACGAGACTCTAAATCACATACAAGAACGAGAACCCTATGTCTCAAGAAGGACGATTTGTTCATTTTTGCAAGATAGATGAGAACATAACCCATATGATGATACAATAATGAAAATCCATTGCTTTAAGTTGACAAGGTGTTGCCCATTTTGTTTTTAATAAACCACTACCATTTTATTAGCAGAAATATTAAGTGATTCTTGTTTGACCAAAAGGTGGTGGTTGTGAATTACGATAAAAAAAGATGCAATTCACATTACTGAGAATTTGGATTTCAGCTTGTATACGTTTCACGTACACGTTAAAGAGTATTTTCTAGTGGTAAGTGAGGAACATCTTGTGTTACTCAAGAAGATTCAAGCGGATGATAACGCAAAAAATATGTTGAAGAAGTCGTTGGGTGCTACGAAGTTCGAGCGTTTCTTGAAGATCATACGGCTCCTTAAGAGTTGAAAGCGAAAGGCTTTTGGGTGGGAGAGATGGATTGTGAATTTTGAGCATTAGTTGTAAATTGATGATTTGAAGACTTTCATAAGACATTTTTTTTATTGATAAAGGTGTTAGCAAGTGATGGCTATATATGCCAAAGCTTATTGACGTCTGAGTCTTTGGGTTGTCTACCATTTTGGGAGGATTTTTTTTGCATCCGTGCATTTCATTTGGTATATGGTGTTCGTATCAAGGTGGAGTGTTAGAAATACGATATACCCTACCTTCGCGCCTTAACCGTTCCGCACGACTTGTCCCACAACCTAGATTGCGGTCAAGGTCATGTATGTCAGTATCCATTTCATATTATCTTCATGCGAGGTGGTTAGGGTTGCCAGCTTCCTTTTACCCTTGATATAATACTCGTGTTTTGTTAGATGCATTTACAGATTGATCGAGCTACTTTTGGTGTATTAACCTTGAGTTAATGGTGTTTAATCATGTTCTCTAGCCCTGGGTTGTTTCGGGGTCAAAAGACTAGATAAAATAGAAATCTTCGGGCATCCAAGGAATCTCGGTGATTGGACATGCAAATCGAGTTGTATCCAAGGTCACTTAACTCACTATAGTATCGGGCTAGACAAAAGGGAAAAAAATATGATAAAAAGACAGGGTACAAGATAAGCGATCTAGGTTGCATATGACCTGTAGACAGATTAAAACCCCATTTTTCTGGGTTTTGTCAATCTCCATTTCTTTCTCGATTTCTTTCATTTTGGGCAGTCTTCTGGAGCTTTTGGGAGGAAAAGAAGAGTATACAGTGGAAGCTTTGGTTTGGGGACTTGGAAGAGCTCCATCATAGGGTTTTGGTTGGAAGGTTGCAATTATCAATAAAGTAAGCTTTTTGGTAATTTTGAGATCTAGTTAGGGATCTTGATAGATCTGAAGTTTGTGTTCATTTTGGTGTATTTCAAGGTTTGAGTATGGTTTTGAGGAATTTCTTGGATGAGCTTTGTTTATGGATCTCAAGCGTTTATTTTGAAAGCTAAAGATTTGGGTTTAGAAACTAGTTTATTCTAACCTAGCAAAGTGAGTTTCAAATTGCTTTGTGAAAAATTTGTACATGACAAAAGTGTGTATTCTGGAGTCTTAAAGTATTTTCCTTAAGATTTATCAAATATTGTTGATTACTTTTGCATCTTTTGCACATTTGGTTTCATAAAATCTTGAGAATTACATATATTTGAGTTTTTTTAGACATTTTGGCGATAAATCATGAAGTGTGTGGGTTTTCATGATTTATTTCTCATATGGAGATCATTTGATGTTAATGCACTTTTGGTATGATGATTTTGTAAATTATTCAAAAATACACATGATTGAGAATTACTGGATTTTGTGGTATTTTGGGTCATGAGAGTTATTAAAATCTTTAAATGCACTTTGAGGTTTATGATGAATCATTTCGGATTAGTCATACATATGAAAGAGCTTATTGGCTTTGATTTGGTATAAATACTCGTTTTGAGATTTTACTTGACCTTTGAGTTAGTGGTGACGATTTTCAAATCTTTTGGTGTATAAGTTGCTCAAATGTTGAGTATTTGTGACTTATTGGTTTATATTGACTTTATTTAAATAGTCAAGTGAGTCATAAAGCTTATTGGTTTGATTTTAACTTCAATGAGTCTCGGGGACATTTGTCCGATCTAAATTGTTCTATGTTGAGCTTTGGTTATGATATGCATTTATGGCATATTTATTTGATCATTACATGTTTTGAATGTGTTGATCATTCAATTTGATTCATGTAACTTAGATTGTAATGCAATGGATCCATAGACATATGAGTCAATTTTGTTGGTTTAAAATGGGAAGGTTATTCCCATATTATGGCCAGAAATAGGCATTGGGTCATTTGGGGCATTATAGTGTAAACTCTTGGAATCAAACCTCGTCCATTGACCATACAATGTAATTTCTGATCGACTTTATAGTTTAAAATGGGATGGTTATCCCCCTATTGTAGTTAGAAAAAGGCATCGGGTTATTAGGGGCATTGTCGTGTGCACTCATTGAATCGAACATGTCATTAAACATATGGTGTAATTTCTAGTGAACGAGTATATCTAGGATCATCAAGAGTCCCATGCAAGGTGTAGTTCGTGGGTGGTTGAATTTTTGATGACCACTAATCCGTAGTGGGGCTCATTAACATAGGTATGCAATTTACTTTTGTGTTTCGTCACATTCTATGGAACCGACTCTTATTCATCACCAAAAAGTTTGTTTTAGATATGATATTTTATCCATGTTTTCAGTGTTGTTTTTGGGTGC